AAAATTGTCATCTTCCTTCCCCGTGAATTCCCGAGATGGCAATACCACGGACAGAAGGCTGCCCTGAGCTGCTGGCCAGCGTGAAGYCGCTGACCTCCTGGCATCGTGGAGCTGCTTGTTTTTCTCCTTGATGGAAATGAGATAGCACAGGAGGGCCTCTGTGTCGACCTCTGATGGAGCATTTCAATGCTAAAGTAGCATTTCCACCCAACTTGAACAAGACAGAGACTRAAAGAAAAATGAGAGAAACTTCACACGCTAGAAGGCCAAGTCACGCTTGTCATCTTGATCCTTCCCTAGAGGCTTCTTGGGGGCCTGAGGCGGCAGCGAGTCTGTGGGCAGGGAGGACGAACCCACGTGTCCCTCTGGAGAGGATTGGGACTGATTGTGCACACTGCCTTGTAGATTTCCTGCTTTCTTTACAACTTGGGGGGACACTCTCCATTTCTGGGAGTCATCTTGAATGGAGGACTTTATATTAAATGGAGATTGGTCTCTCTTTTTTGGGGGGAGGTCCTAGGCATGTGTGGCCTCCTTTGGTGGTGGATCCGMCATGGGGTCTCAGTGGGAAGGCTGGAGCAGGTGAGGGCAGGGGAGGAAATGGGCCCTGCTGCAGGGGACCAGGGGGTCACGACTCTTGCTTTCTCCCTTTTCCTGCAGCATTGGAATCATCTACGGCTTCGCGGCCAACCACCACGTGAGACACCGCGTCAGAACGTCTCAGAAGCTGATAGACAGCAACTTGAAAGACCTGCGAACCCTCGTGAACGAAGCGCCACAGGTACAGCCACAAGCTACACGTCTCGGGCGCTTTGTATCTGGGCTTCTCGGAGTTCCTGGGTGTAACTGGGACCTCACTGCACCTTCCAGGACCCCGGAGGGAGGATCTGTGTAGATGGGAGTTGCCTTTTTAAAAATGGGTTTCTATTATTGCATTAGAATTCTACACAGGACTGTGGTTCACAGTGACATAGTGATGGGGCACGAGGCTGCTATTTCTTTTCATGTGGTAGATGAAGAAATCAAGGTGCAGCAAGTATTTTTCGAAAGAGTCCAAAAGCATAATTTCAGAAATGGTATTTTAACGTAAYGAAATGATAGAATTGCTTACARTTTAAAARTTTAAAAGTTCTCATGATTATTTTTAAGAAAGAAAGGTCTTGGCTGTCCTCATCCTTTCTTCTTGGCAGTATGGTTAACTCCTGATAATTTCCGTGGTTATTCTGATGACGAAAGCCTTTTGCTGTGTAAACACCCATTTGTTGACATCCATGCAGGATGTTACAGTGTGTGTTGGGGAGGGCACACACACTGTCTTTCTCTCACATGCACACTCACACATTCACGCATTGTTTCTGTAGAAAGGGAGTTGAGTGGGGTCAAGGACCCTCTTTTCTGTGTCCCAAGAGCATGCTGATRTATTGTTATTTGGAACGTTGTTTGGAAAAGCGTCTGGGCAGGAGCCCTCCTGCATCTGTGGTGCTGTGGGTACCCACATCAGGAGGAGGAGCCCACCCACAGAGCCACTGGAAGAACCCACCAGGCCCCCGGGGGCCCCCTCACAGTTTATTCTATCTTAAAATATAAGTATTGCTAGTTTCCTAAAAAGTGGCTGGAAATGAAAGAGAAACAAAGGCAGGCATTTGAAAATATTGAGAAATTGACTTTATCTTTAGTTTTATAGCCTGTATACAGATGCAAATGTTTTATTTGTCCGATCCTGTGAGAAAAATTCACAGCATTCTTTTACCTGACATTGTAAACAGTCCAAGGAAAAAACCTTTTTTCCTAAACAGCTGGCAAAGTCGGGCAGCAGTGCAGGCTACTAAAGTTTGGGATGGCTCTCATCMTCTTAAATGGACAGTAAATTGTTGGGACTTTCAGGGAAACTTATCTGATTTGAAATAATGATGAGCTCTATGAAGTCTAAAAAAAAAATTGGGCAGAGAATGTGAATGTGCAGTGGATAAAAAAAACACAATGGCCCTGCACGTTTGATCTTCCTCTACTAACTGAAGGAATTGAAACTGAGATGATGACGCATATTTTCATTGAGAAGATTGGCAATCATTATCGAAAACTGGTAAAAGGCCCTCAAACCCCCTGTGGTGCCGAGGAAGTGGGGACTGGGTCTCCTGAGCCACTGTAGACAGGCGGGCAAGCCCCTTTGAAGGCCAGTTGGTAATTGTCACTAAATAAAATGGGTCTARTGTGGCAGAACACAAAGGGCACAAGTTCTTGACAGTTCCTCCGGTCACACAGTGGATCTGTCTCCCAACCCYTGGAGTCTGGGCTGTCCCTGTGGTGTGCTTATGACCCGGGGAACACAGCGGACATGACCTCAGGCCAGTTTTGAGCTTCAGCTTCCAGAGGCCACTCAGTGTCTACTCTTTCCCTCTCGTTGCTGGTGACCCTTGGATCACCAAGCTGGTCACTCAGAAGATACGAGGCCATGTGGAAAGAGTGAGGGGCCCACCCGTCCCCAGCCATGCTAGAACTGACCGCAAGATCCAACAGCCAGTCCACAGGATCATGGGACATAATAAACCAGCACAAATAATACATTCACARTGAACAAGTAAACTCAGTGAATCMATCAGTTTTAGGCTAATAAGCTGGRGAGTGTTTYTAAGAAGTTTGTCAGAAAATAAAAATATCTCCAGAACTTGTTGACAATCTCTTCCTAAAGCTTCTCTSATTCGGGTTGATTTTTGAATGACATATGTCTTTTTATTGTGGCTTTGGGCTTTAGAAGGTCGGGTTTCACGTAATTTTTCTTTCCCTAGCAAATTGACTATATCGTGGACCAGTTCAACACCACCAAAGAGAAGGCCTTCTTAGATCTGGACAGTGAGTACAATCAGCATGTGTGGCTGACTGTTTGCTTGTTTGGGCTCGAGAGAGGCTGTGGCTGCCACCCATAGAACATGGACTAAGAAATCAAGTAGCGGGAGGTAGGAGAAAGTAGGATACAAACCCCCTTGAGTCGACGACAGTTTGCAATCTGTGGAAAGCCTCTGGCTGGCWGGCAGGCAGCGGGGCCTTTGGCTCTCTTATTTGGCATCCGTTGCAGGGCACTTGGCATCTTGAGGTCACTGGCACTTGTTCTTCATCCCCCACGTGGGGGAGGATGTGTATCCCTGCCAGGTGCCCTGTTAAAGTGGCCCTCAGAAGTAGATGGGGACTGTGCTGGGGCTCACAGTGTGGCTTAGCGGTTCTCAACCAAGGAGTGACRGGGGGTGCCCTCTGGAGACATCTGTGGTTGGCACAGAGAGGCCAGGTGGAGGCAGTGSAGGTCCTGGCACTGTTGGTAGAGGAAGCTGCAACACCCGACCGTGCACAGAACAGGCCCCACCCGAGTTACCCAGCCCACAATGTCAACAGGGCCACCGCCATGTGAGAATCCGGCCTGGCTGAAGAGATGGGACAGAGGTGGTTACATACAGCTCAAGGTGCTCAACTCTCTTTCCTTACCTTACCTTAGAATGTACAAATAGCAATGAACTTCAGAGATAAAACTGAGAACATTTAATTAAAAAGGAAAGAAGAGGAGGAGGAGGAGGAGGAGGAGCAGCAGCAGCAGCAGCAGCAGCTAAATTCTGTGTTCCTAGCACAGATTGTCAGTCGGTGGTGTCTAAGTTTTCACCTGGGGACGTCCATATGGGAACTTCAAATGATGTGATGAAATCTGCACACCAGGGTCAATACCTGAACAGGGTCTAGAATGGAATAGAGGTGGAGCCTGTTCTTCAGGGCAGCTGCCCTCACTGTCCCTTCTGCTTCTTCAATCCCAGATATTCATTCGTTGCTGGGAGGTGGAATTCTCGAGAGACTAAAGCCTAAGGTGATCCCTGTTCTTGATGAGATCCAGGTCATGGCGAAAGGTAAGCACAGTGGCAAAGGTGACTGAAAAGACACCCGTGGRAGTCCCTGGGTCACTAACTCTTTCCTGAGTTTCCCTGAGAAGTGGCCAGAGTGAGAGCGGCGATCTGTGGCCACACAAACAGGCCTGGCAGAAACACACCGTATAATCGTAGTTAGTGTTTTATTTTATTTTTTTTTTAAAGCTGGCACCAAAGATATTGTACTGAAGAAAAGTCATTTGAAATAATACTGGCAGAATTTGATAGGGGACCACCACTTGGTTTTGTAAATAAAGTTTTATTGCAACACAGTCATGCACATTTCGTGGCTGCTTCTGGTCTGTGATGGCAGAATTGAGTGGTTGTAACTGAGACCTTAAGGGCCACAAAGGCTAGAATATTTACCATCTGGACTTTTATTGAAAAAGTTCATCAACTCCTATTATAGAAGATGAGTAGCCTATAGACTTTTGGGTCTTTTGCATTCTATTGATTACTCCCCCTACCATGAAGGGACGGCTTTTGAAAACAAGGAATATACTTATGTATCTTAAAACCCACGAGAGTCAGTATGTAAGTGAACAGATTTTAATAAACATGTTCAACTACCATGAAAAAAATCCTCAGGTCCTTCTGAATATTGAAAAAAAAAATGTCTGCTGGGTGTTTGATGGGGAAGACGATTTCCTCTGTCAAATGTTTGGCCAATTCCCGAGAAAACAGGCCATCAGGAAGGGATCTTATGGAAGACAATTATGCCTGTTCCCTTTGGCATTCCTGATAGTCCAGCTACTCAGCAGACTCTCTGGGACTAGGAAGGCTGGCAGAATAGGCCGGGAGTCCTCTGCGGTGAGTCCTCAGCCGCCTCCAGACGTCACCAACCTCTCCATCACCAACCATTCCCTTTCCTGGCCAGGAAATAGAGGCCCGAGAAGGAATGGGACCTCAAAGATCTATGCCTTCCCATCCACTTCCCCCTCCTTTCCTTCCTTCTTCCTTCCTTCCTTCTTCCCTCCCTGGCCCTCTCCTGTCATTCCAGCCTCACTTCCCGTCTTAGACACCCATCTTTAAGTGTCCCTTTCTCTTAGAACGACATCAGTCCTACCCCATCAGGGCCCCACCCTTCTGACCTGATTTCATCTTAACTACCTCCCTGGAGACCCTGTTTCCAAACACAGGAGGGTCAGGACTTTGACGTATCAATTGGGGGACACTTCAGTCTCTAGCAGTTGGGTAGCTTGGAAGGGGTGGAGTTGGGTGGAGTTGGAGCACCCCATCTGACAAAAGCCTCTGGTACCCTGACGACCCTAGAGAGGATTCAGAATACTGGGGAGTGCTCAGATATAGGGTGCTGCTATGCCACCTTCGGGAAGGCCACATGGGGAACCTCTGGAAGAGGAGTTGGGAGTATGGAGCTCAAGCTGGCATGGCCGTGGGACGATGCTATTTATCTCTGCACCCCAGGCCTCTGTTGTCAGGGCATTGGGTGTCAGCGTCTTAGGTCTTCCAAGATCTCCTCCAGCCAAAATTCCACAGTGGCTGAGGCTGCATGGAAGTATATGGACAGGCAGCCCGCTTGATGTGTCCCTTGACTTTTTGCTCAAAGTTCCAATGATTCTTTTAATATATTTTTTTTAGTTGTAAGTGGACACAATACCTTTAGTTTATTTATACGTGGTGCTGWGGATAGAACCCAGTGTCTCACATGGGCTAGGCGAGCACTCTACCACTGAGCTGCAACCCCAGCCCAGCTCCAATGATTTTTAGCATTTCAAATCACAGTGCTTTCTAGATGAAAGGTGATTAAAACAGATTTTATTTTTCCCTTCAGTGTTTCCTGTATTATTAAAATTCTGCTGTTTTTCAAGCCAATCTAAATAAGTCAATGTTCATTTAGCCTTTGTGGTGCCAGAGCTTCTTAAAACTTGCTTACCAAACTGCTCTAGCTAAGTTTTTGCTAAAAATGCTTTGTAGCCTTATGTGTTTTGTGGACTTTGGAGAGAAAAGAATCATGCAGTTGTTTTGAGTACATCATGTTTAGGCTGCAGGTCAAGAGGAAATGAGCTCTGGACTGGTGAAATGTTTATTAACTAAAATTAAGAATCTGAAATATCTTCCCCAGTTACTTCAGATACATAATGCATGGGATCTCAGTAGGCCTGGAATGACTCCCAGAGTTATAGCCCTGGAAATGTTTTATGGGCATAAAAATGCTTTGAAGCTTTTGGAAAATATAAATTTATTACCTCTGAGTCCTTTTGGAAAATATAAATTTATTACCTCTGAGTCCTTCCATAGACATTCTGGGATGTGGGTAATATCCCACATCCCAGAATGTCTATGGACAATGACCACACACACACATATTTCCTGGGCCATCAGTTTGTTTTATCATCTGTCCATCTTTGTTGTTGTTATTTGTTTCTTGCACTAATTTATCTTAAAGTCAAAATGGAAAGGGCCTTGAGAGGTAAACCTCAGAACCTTGAAGCTTGAGGTGTGCAGCATGAAGTGTCTCAGCACGTTTTTGTGCATTCAGGTGTATGTCTCCAGTGCGGGTTCTTTGTTTCTCATTTGCTGTGCTACATATTCACTGAGCCTCTACCACGAGCTGGGTACCAGGCTTCATGCTTTGTTGATAATGCTACCAGGTAGGTGGGAGGAATGAAAAACTGATACCCGGAGTGCTCTTTTATGGTCTCATCACTAGTGTAGCCTCCAATCCTGTTAAAATACGATCACCCTGGAATCAAGAGCAAAAATGGAAGCAGACTTTAGAATTATTTTTTCAATCAGGTGAAGTGATAAAATTTGAGACCAGTGATCATGCTGCCTAATTCTGGAAGCCTCTCCAGGTCTCTGGATAAATCCTCAAAGTTCCTCCAAATGAGACCCAGTTAACATGGGTTTTAACTAACCTATCCAAGGCTCAGCCTCACAAACCTGTCAGGACACAGTCTAGAATCACAAGAGACAGCCTAACCAGCTCCCTCATTTACAGATGAGGAAACTAAGGTACCAAGAGATGAAAGAACTTGCCAAAGATGCCATACAAGATAGAAGTAGAACCAAAAGGAGAACTTGTGCTACTTTTGGAGAGATTCCATGGTACCGTTGTGTGTATGTGTGTGTGTGTGTGTGTGTGTGTGTGTGTGTGTGTGTATGTGTGTGTATGTGTCTATGTCGAGTTTTATGTGGTTGCAGGAAGGTACTGCAAGCAGTTTTTAAGGGCTTTCACATTTTCCCTTGCAACACTGCACTGCAGCCTGATGCTCTGCTGTTTTGCAAGCCGCAGAGCAAAGACCTGACCACAAAGACTTACCTGTTTAGACGAAGAGTGACCTCCAGTTTAAATGTCATGACTATTACCACTRTAGCTTTGAGCCACTGTAAAAAACAGTTGTGATTCACATCCACAGTCTCTGGTAGGGGATTCCACCCTCCAGAGGGATCAGGAAAGCCATCATCATTTGGGACTTGCTGGTATAAGTCTGTGYCCTAGGCTGTGGGACTCCCAAAGCAATGCAGACAGACCCACTGCTGTTGAGGAGTTTGGATCTGATTAGTCTTCCCCACAGGTTCCCATGATCAACATGGTGATAGTTTCAATATTTTAATAAGAATAAATTGATTTTAAGAGGTTCCAGAATCTACTTCGGGTCACACAGGTGGTAACAAAGCTCGGATCTATACCCAAATCTGCCTGAATCTAAAACTCTCCTCTCAACTATCTGTAGGTTATTCCAACTCTTTGAATACTTATAACTAAAATGTAAGTGTAATCTGTTTTTATATGGGTTCAAACCACTTGGGATGGATTTGCTTGGACTGACCTCTTCAAGGTTGGGCAGTAATGCTGTTGTTGGCCCAGTAATGGGGCACTGAGGTGTCCCCATCACAGTCCTGTGTTGGTCCTTGGCCCCAGCTTCTTGGTTGAAAGAGACCCCATACCATAGAGCTGAGCTGGTCAGAGGAGCTGGCCGAGCAGCCCAGCAGTGCCCTGTGCTTCCTCTCAGACTGCCCCTTGCAGTGGTCTAAGGCCATTTACAAGTTCGTCACAAGTTCCTTTAGGTCCGTCTTATAGATGGAAGGRCCCTGGTGTCTCTGCTCTGAAATGGGCCGTGTTCCCGCAGCAATTAAAGAAACCAAGGTGGCCCTGGAGAACATGAACCAGAATTTTAAGAGCCTGAGGGATGGAAGCCAACAGCTCAGCAACAGCCTGTCTGCTGTGAAACAGAACATGCAGAATTCTCTGCAAGGCCCTGAGTGCCTTCTTCCACAAGTGAGTGACATCTGCAAGAACATTGAGTCGTCTCTGAGCCAGCTGGAGGGCAACCCCGAACTGAGCAAGGTGAGCTGCTGGAGCCTGCCACATCAGGGCCCCGAGCTCCGGTGGGTGGGCATGGCTAAGCACYGGTACACCTGTCAGGGGCACAGTGGCCTCTCATCACCACAGGGGTGTGGCTACAGCAGGAGCAGAGGAATGCAATGGAGTCCCCTTCTGGGCAGTTCTTTACCATTTGGTGAAACACATTCAACTTGAAAAAAATAATAAGGGGAGCAGAACACTTTCCAGGAGAAATTTAAAATATATATTTAAAACCATATACCTCATGTATTAACCCCCAAATAGAAGGYAATTCATCCATTTTCCCAAAGAGTAGATTCCCTCCCAAAAGGACTTCAGGCAACTTGAATATATAAAGTTCTGGAATGTAGAAAAAAATGGRCATGCGTTTCACTGGCATTTAACGTATTAGTTTTATATTACAATGAGCGCTACCACCATCTCCACGGTTCCTGTTCAGATGTTGTCTGTTTTTCTGAAAATTCCCTTCACAGCTATCTTTTCACTTTGCAGCCAAGGGTCCTGGCCAGGGCCACATGTCGCTCTCAGTGTCGTGCCTCTTTCTCCTGGAACCGTTTCTCAGGCTCTCTCTTTTGTGACACTGACGTTTTTTTATTTCTTTTTAAATATTTTTCTAGTTGTCAGTGGACACAAAACCTTTATTTTATTTATCTTTTTTATTTATCTTTATGTGGTGCTAAAGATCACACCCAGGGCCTCACACATGTGAGGTGAGCGCTCTACCGCCGAGCCCCAGCCCCAGCCCTCACTGACGTTTTTGAGCAGGCCACCTGTGTGGTGGAGTGGCCATCTGTTCAGGTTTGTCTGGTGATCTCTTGTATTGGATTTAAGTTACCTGTATTTGCCAAGGACTCATTGTAGAGTGATGCTGGGTCCTCCTTGGCACATAATGTCAAGAGACATGTGACACTTGGCCAAGCGTTGGTAAGAACCAGAGATTTCCGAGGYACCTGCAGTGCTGGACATGAAAAACTTGTTCCAGGCTTCTCAATGATGTCCCCGCTCACTGTATTACTTTTATATTATTTGTTTGATTTTTTTGGTTCCAGGGATCAAACCCAGAGCCTTGCATGTTAATCGGGCTCTTTACYACTGAGCTGCACCCCAGCCCCTGTATGACTTTTTGTTTGTTTTTGGTGGTGCTGGAGATTGAACCCAGGGCCTTGTGCATGCAAGGCAATCACTCTACCAACTGGGCTATATCCCCAGCCCCCTGTATT